CTAGTAATTAATAATTTAAATATTAATAGATAAATAAATGTTTATATTTTAATATCGAAAAATGAAACATGCTATATTTAAGTTTTATAAACAAAAGAATAAAACTAAAAATTGACAATAACAATCATCTTAACTAACTTTTCATTAAAGATAGAGTTATGGAATGTCGAAGTGAAGTCATACCATGATCCTCCATTATACAATTAAGATTATTTTGGGAAATTCTTTCACTTCTATTCTCTTCCCCAGGCACTTCAAGCATATCATTTGGGTCACAATCACACTTATCAAATTCTTTATCTTTAATTGCATGCTACCTAATGTAATTATAAAGTACAATAGTTGTAAATACTGAATGAATAATTTCACATGCTGGACAATATTTCAAATCTATTTTTCAATACCCCAATTGATTGTTCAATGATATTTCTAAGAAAAGCATGGGCATGGTTGAAGTTTCTTGATAACCCATTGGTTGGCTTCCATGTCTAAAATTAGAAATGTGATACATTTCTCATTTATAAGATGGCAAATATCCTTTTGTATTTGGATAACCAGTATCAACAAAATAATATTTGCTGGAAATATAAGAAAAGTTATTAATAATAAACAATGAAAATGTACTTAAAAATTTATTAAAAAAGATATGCCTTTGTTGTTATAATATAAAATAAATAAAAAGTCATTATCATTAGGAGGATGAAGGAACACATCTTTATACTTTTCTAATGTATTATTGAAAATGCATGCATCATGAGTAGATCCAGGCTAACCTATAAATACAAATGTAAATATCAGGTCAAAGTTGTTGACTCAATGTACTCCAAGAGGGGGGTGAATTGGAGTTCCAAAACTTTTCCCCTTTTTCAACCACAAAACCCAAATTAAGGAGAGTAGAGAAGAAGAGCTTGCACAATAAATTTATAGAGGTTCGGTCCAACCACTTGGAGCCTAGTCCTCTACCTTGGCTTCACTCACCAAGGATTTCCTCCACACTCTTCACTAAGAAAGACAAGGGTGGCTTAAAGGAGCCACTCACTCCTTTTACAACAAGATGAGTATTTCTCTCAAACCTCACCTCTTTACAATGTAAGCCCCACAAATCCTCTCAATAGATCACTTATGAAGGAATCAACACACCCCCAAGATCACTCACTAAAAGCACAAGAAGAGGATTACAAGCAATGATCACTCAAAGATCAAAAACTCAAGTTAAAGCTCAAGTAGATAGGTAAAGATATTCAATGCAATGTTCTCTAAACTTGTTCATATCTGTTACCAACCATATTTATAGCCCCTTACTCAAAAATAGTCGTTACTAGCTGTTGGAGGTCATTTAATGCTCTGCAAGACTCAAAAGCCGAGTTGCAGGATTGTCAGGAGAGCCAGCTTAACATTCTAGAGCCGACTCTACAGAGCCGGCTTATTCTTCCAGAGCCAGCTATCCGGGTTTGCAGACCATTCTGTTTTCCTCGAGAGCCGACTGCAAAACTTTGAGCCGGCTTTGGAACTCCAACTTTAAATACATTAAATAATCTTCAAATAACTCAACCGTTGTGCATTAAATGCACCCTCACAGCCGGCTGCAAAGTTGGAGCCGGCTTTGCGTCTTTTCTCCTCGCGCGCCAAACAACGGTCTTCAAATTTTTGCCCGTAGAGCCAGCTGCAGCTTCTAGAGTCGACTATTTGCACTTCCATTTCACCAGAGCCGGCTATTTGCACTTCCATTTCACCAGAGCCGGCTGCAGATTTCAAGAGTCGGCTCTCTGCAAATATTCAAGCCTTTCTGGTCCATTTTTAAGTGCAGTCCAAGTTTACTTGCAATCTTTTAACAACTTAACTACACACTTAAATAAACCAATTAGTCACTCAAATATGTTTTGTAATCATCAAAATCATAGGTACAACAAAAGTTACAAACTACCATCGCATTTTGAGTGGTGATACCTTTTCGACCTTTGAATGGTACTTGATTTTCAACTGGAATCATGGCTTTAATATGCGTACCATCAATTGCACCAATATATCCTTTAAAATGAGGCCAAAACCTATTATCTTCCTAAATCTTCCTTGTAGTTTCAATAAAATTATAATCAGGTAGTTTGACAATATCAATTGAAAACCTCACTAGTGCATCAATCACCTCACCAAATTTTTTACTTACTGTTTCTCCTGAATGTTTAAAAAGATTTTGTGCATTTTGATTAGATTTGTTATGTGCACATGTCCAAAGAAACATTGTAAATGCTTTTTCAGCACATATTTCCCTTGTTGATGTTAGACCATAATCACTAACCAACAAAGAACATAATCCCCTAAAAACATGTGGTTCCATTCTAAATCCTCTATAATTAACTCTCACCTAGAGTTGCCAATGTCTCTTATAACCATTACCATCGTGAAAGTCTAGAAACTCTTGTTTTTTGTTTATTAAGATACTTCAAAATATATCTTGATGATATTGAAATATTTAATGAAATAAGAGAAAAAAACACATTTTTTTTTTGTCTAGCTTCCACCTCCCTCTCTCTTTGTTCTATAGCTTCTTCCTCCATCTTATCCTCATCAGTATTTTCTTCCTCCCATCTTGAATCTAAATCCATCTACTAAGAAAAAAGAAAAAAGTTAAGGGAAAATATGATCACAACAAACAAATCCTATTATTTTTACAATAAAATTTTGTCAATAACAAAATAAATGAAATTACCTTTATATATATTTTTTTAATGTAATGAGAAATGAACTTGGAAGAATGATGTAAACTAACTTGTTTAATCCTTTGCCGAAAGGAACAAAGCAAAGTAAATGAACTTCAGTGAAGGAGAACAATTCTTGCTAATTAAATGAAACAAAGAAGAATAGTTGGAGGTTGGTTGGTTAAATAGGTGTTTAATTTTTTTTCTCTTTGACTTTGTTCAATTTTTCTTAAAAGCCATGCTCCTAGCAAGACTATACATAAAAGATTAGACACTTATAAGAAATATACTTTAACTTCTTTTAATAAAGAAACTGAAAGGCTGAAAGGAGTATGACAATAAAAACATCATCTAATAAAAAAGGACAGATGGATAGTAGAAGGGAATCTATTTGTGTTGAAGATGACAAAAGGAAAAAGTATGGAAGAAGGACCTGAACTTGCACAAAATTCATAATTCTA